CAGTCTCAGCTCTGCTTCCGGCATCGATCCATACACCGACGGTCGAGGTCTGAGCCCATGGAGAGTATTCGGTAGCAATCTAGAGGGACAGTCAGCGTGTCTCTTCCATCTCAGCCATCTCAGTCGTCATCCCCAGCTCGATCCGGACTCACCGTTAAGCCATTGGACAGTGTCGTTGACTGCGTCGTGCCAGCGACTGGAGATGCAAAACCTCGCCTGCTGCGCTGGACAGCCTGCAGCGCGCTGCGAGAGCGCACCGCCTGGTGGAAATTGAGAGCGAGTCTCCGGGATGCCATGGCGGAGGATGTGGGAGGGAGCCTGGTGGTGAAAAGGTGAATTGGGGGCAGCGTTCGACTGTCGCTTCGTCGTGCCTTTTCGTTGAAGTCGTGAAAAGCGAAAGTTGTGAAGTTCAAACTTGCTGTTTCCGATCATCACGTGATACCGGATGAGAAGCGCATTTCTGCGCCCTCTGATTGGCCAGCTGCCACGACATGCAACTCCATGACAGGCATCCAGGATGTTTGTGATATTTGATACTCGACGCTCGACAATGCTTAGACACAGTTGTAGGGCTCGGTAGCACATGAGAATGGACATCGAGCAGGTGAGCAAGGCTATTCCGTCAGGTGTACGGCATATTAACCGGGAAACACGCAGGTTACTCATAGCTAAGTTAGCTTATGTGAGCCGCTCGTCTCCGTGGCAGGCAAAGAATGTATCTTCACCAGCAGCCATTGTATGTGCCTGCACGGGGTCCTATGGCTACGAGAGGCTCTTTATGTTTCAAAAAACACTCACGCACTGAATCCAGCCTCCTCTCAGTACAAATATACTCACCCAACATGTCACAGAGTACGGAGTACTGCTTGTCCGTCCAGCTTTTTCCGTACCCTTGAGCCTATTTTTTAAGTGGAGAAGGTGTTGCCCCAGGGCCCTGGAACCCGCCTCAGATGATGGCATGATATGCCCTGTTCATTCTCTCAATTTTCTGCGTTGGGGCATATATAAAAGATGACAACGTTCTTTCAATAATATATACAAAGTACGCTTGTTGTATCGTGCTCTTCGGCTGTTATATACTGCGCCCTAGGATCAGACAGGGGTGCCGTCTTGATCCTTTCCACCCCTCGAAACTCGCAGAATTTTCTCTCCTCGAGAGCCTGTTTGTTAGGGTGCTTGAAGACAATAGTCGATAGCATAGCTCACTACTCGTCCAGACATGGCGACTACAGAAGAAGGCCGGCTGATTCCGGCTGAAGAGATAACTGAGCAAGCACCATTGCTGAGAAGAGAGGGTGACGAAGGCGTGAGAAACTCGCATCCGCGACTCTCTGGAGCTCGCTCCACGATTATTATACTGGGACTGACTGGTGTCACCTTCCTAAGCTGCGTGTCTAACGGTCTTCTTGTTGTCGGACTGCCTGCGATCGCCTATGACCTTGAGCTTCCCGATCACCTTTTGTTCTGGTTTGACTCCCGTAACCCTGGAATTAGACATTTGGATAGGGTAGATGCTTGCTAACACTCGTGTACAATCTAGGCCAACATCCGTCTATTCGTAAGTAGGATGGTGTTTTGTTCCTCCACGGTATCAAGTAAATCAAAATGGCATCTCTAATAGTTAATTGCTTGTGCATATAGACTAGCTAGCGGATGTGTTCTCTTGCTCGCCGGCTCCTTAGCCGACATCGTTGGTGATCGGTCGATTAATATCTTGGGTACTGCAACCACAGCTCTCGCAATCCTGGGTACGGGCCTATCTCGCACCGGAATGGAGATGATCATATACCGTCTCGTTCAGGGTATCGGCGTCTCCATGTGTCTGCCAACCGGAGTCAGCATCATTACGAGGTCGTTTCCTCCCGGACCCCAGCGCAACATCGGATTCGCTAGCCTGGGCTTATCCCAACCACTTGGCTTTTCTGTCGGCATGGTTGCCGAGGGGCTCTTTTCAGAGGCCCCCGGAGGCTGGAGACTGGGGTTCTATGGCAGTGCCAGTGTCGCACTGGTCCTCACTATATCAAACTTCCTTGTCCTACCATTTGATAACAAACAATCTACCTTTAAATGGGGTGACCTCGTGGGCAAGGTCGATTGGGTCGGAATACTGATTGCTAGCTCTTGCATGGGCATTATCTCCTATATATGCGCGTGAGTATTGATCTCCCTTATTCAAGAGTCACGAGCCAGGCTTACAATGTTATTCTGTAGTATTCTCACAGACGACGTTGCCAATATCCAGAATGCCGCTCACATAATACTTATTGTGTTGGCCCTTGTCCTGATGCCAGCATTTGGCCTCTGGATGCATTGGCAAGGAAAGAGGGGCGCACCAGCATTGATACCCAACTCGATGTGGAAGAACACTGTCTTTGTTTCCATCAGCTTGATCGTATTCTTCACTTGGGCTGTCATATTAAGCTCTGAGCTAGTACTGAGTTTATTGTATGTTCAAATCCCCTCCTCTTCGCTGTTTACCGGATTGCCTTTACTAACTCGTCAATAATAGCTTCCAAAAAGTCCAGCTGTTGTCTCCATTTGATACTTCCATCCGTCTTCTGCCCAATGTCATCATTGGCATTATACTCAACCTTAGCACCGGACTATTCGTCCACCTGGTCCAAGTTAATTTACTAGTCATTGTAGTGTCTATAATCGCAGCAATTGCCCCGCTGTTGATGGCCATCATAGACCCAAACTGGAACTACTGGGTCTGTGCGTTCTGGGGAGTGCTCTTGGGACCAGTGGCTATCGATGGTATGCACGGCTTTGTTCTCCCCTTCCCCGTCGCATTTACACAGCATTAGCGCCAGTTACTGACACATGATCTACTCCCACCTAGTTGTATTCACTATCGCCCACTTGATGATCACAGATATATTCCCGAGCTCCACCCAGGCTCTCGCTGGCGCTGTGTTCAACACCATCGCCCAGCTTGGAAGCTCTGTTGGTCTCTCTGCCATTGCAGTCATTTCAGCTGCGGTAGAAAAGGCCTCACCTTATCCGGACCAATCGCCCGAGGCCATCATGGCTGGGTACAGGGCCGCATTCTGGGCCTGCTTCGGTACCATGTTGTTTGTTGCGTTCATTGGCCTTGTCGGACTACGGAATGTGAAGAAGCTTGGGGTCGGAGACGATCACGAACGAACTTAGACATACACTTGACGAACTTCATTGACTCTCAATCTTTTTATTGTCATGAGGAGTCCGTCCGAAAAATTCTTCTTAATTCTGTTCCCGGCACGCAACAATCTGGTAGGTCGAGGACCTCCTAAGTCGGGTGCTTTGTCCTTTTCTTCTAAGTACTTTAATAAGCTCTTGGTATGTGCTCGGGGTACATAAAACGACTGACATACTTGAAAACCAGTAGCATACATAGAATAGATAGCATGCTCTCAATGACCATATGATTACAACTCCTCTTCGGGAGCAGCAATAGACGCAAGATAATGCATTGACTTGATGAAGATACTTAGGAGGCCGCTACTTTAATTGAGATGCTGAAATAGCTGCCGACTGCGCGTAGTACTAGATCATTTACCTCCTGAACTAACGTCCTACAGCGATTTCTAGCTCCATAGCAATCAATTTTTCGCCTCTTAATGTATATCATAAGCACTAAAGGGCTCCACACAAAACTTGCTACAGAGTTTGTCAGATATTTGAAATATTTATTAATCACTTTGTAATAGTTAACTATCTATCCTTGACCCCATCGGACCAACTTTCGGACATGCGACTCATTTGGCATATTTCGCGCATGCCTATCTACAGTGAAAATTCATTAAAGGCAGGAGGACCCAATACCACGGTTGAGACACCAGCATGGTGATCAATTCTTTATTCTCCCCCTAATCACCCAAACAATCCCTCCTCTCATCTGAATTCAGCCCGTTTAGTATATAAATACAGCATTGACCTCTCAGTGTCCGATTCAACCAAAAAAAAAAAAAAAAAAAAAAAAAAAAAAAAAAAAAAAAAAAAAAAAAAAAAAAAAAAAAAAAAAAATATCAATTTTCCAAAGCTATGGCACCATCAACAGAAACGTTCATTGAGCTGGCAAAAGCAAAAAAATCCGGGTACTCTATCACCAACGCAAGTACTGTGCCGGATTCTCAGCTTGAACAGCTTGTCCACGATGCAATCAAGCATGTTCCCAGCTCCTTCAATACCCAGACTACTCGTATAGTCCTACTTCTCCATGACGAGAATCAGCGGTTCTGGGATACTGTTCAGGGGGTGTACATGTCCATGGTGGAAAGGGGTACATTTCCCGAGGACAAGTGGAAAGCCGGCACAAAGCCAAAGCTGGACAGAATGAGAGCTGGATACGGGACCGTAAGTTGATTTGATATCTGAGGGCTGGTATTGGTTGCTGACATGACTAGATCCTCTTCTATGAAGACCCAGCGGTGATTCCGGGGATGTGTGAGAAGTTCCCCCAATACAAAGAACAATTTCCCATATGGGCTCATCATAGCAATGCCATGCACCAATATTTTCGTGAGTCCTGGATGCAATTGACTTATATGTCATGTTGAGATTGTAGTTAACTATTCAAATCCATGCTGACCCTTCTCGTAATCGAAACTTTAGTGTGGACCACGCTTGAATCCCTCGGATTGGGTGCGAGCTTGCAGCACTACAACCCCATTATTGATGCAAAAGTTACGGAAGCTTTCTCACTCCCGTCTGACTGGATTTTAGTGGCTCAGATGCCGTTTGGTGTCCCTACCGCACAGCCATCTGAAAAGTCATTTGATCCGATTGAGCCGAGAGTCAGGGTATTCGGAAAGCAAGACAATTAAATTTCATGCAATGACTAGAGGGGGAAGGGTCATCAAACTTTTCAAGATATTTAAGTACAGCATGTTATAGAATTGTTCTATCCAGTACTAATCGTGCCTCGTTAAAGAGTTGTATATCATAATATATATACTGGTATATAAAGATAAACGCTCAACCAATGATCGGCGCATATTTCCACACTAGTTAGTTAGTTAGTGAACATGATCCTTTGCATATCGCTTGACGCTTTCCAAGAACGAGATGTCTTCCTTGAATCCAAGTTCTTTGGCCCATGTAATGTCGAAGTTGGGGGACCAGCCTTGGACAATCCTATCAACCGTCTCGTCATACTTTTCCTCAACCAAGGCTCTCTTCTCCTTTCCGCCAACTTGCTCCAGAACATCCAGCATCTCGGTAACAGAAACCTTAATTCCAGGCAGGTTTACCGCTCTGGAGTCGCCGAACTTCTCCTTTGGAATGTCTTTGGCATAGATCATGTTTTCCACAACGACATATGGAGAGCATATCCAGAGCTCCGTGTCTTTCTTGACTGGAATAACGCTCTTCTCGCCCTTCAATGGCTCACGTATGATACCGGAAGCAAAGCTGCTTGCAGCTCCTGTGGGGGCACCAGCCCGGACAGTAACAGTAGGCAATCGAACAGATCTCCCATCAAGGAAGCCACGGCGTGAATAGTCATTCAGGAGTAGCTCAGTTGCAACTTTCGCCGTTGCGTAAGAAGATGTAGGGAGCGGTGGGATATTTCGTTCATTTATCTTGAATCCAGGGGGAGTAGGCCCATAGACAGCCAACGAAGATGCAAAGACAACCTTTACGCCTGGAATCACTTTTCGCAACCTTTCGAACATGTAATGTACCGAGAAGAAGTTGATCTTCATGCCCAGGTCAAAGTTGGCTTCTGAAGCACCGGACATGATGCCATGAAGAATGTAAACCGCATCATATTGGGATGGAGAGCTGATGAGCTCGTCAACAGCGGCCTGCGAAGTCAGGTCTGCCTTGATGCTGGTAACGCGACTGGCATCTTCTGGTTTTGCTGAAGGTGGAACTGGAGGGGCCACGGTAACGTCTGTAAGTGTGAGACGAGTGTCAGGACAGGCATTCAGAAGTCCCGTGGCCAACTCCTGCCCAACAAAGCCATTTGCCCCGGTGATAAGGATAGAGGGCATTGGCATGGCTTTCTTCTTTAAGCTGAATTCAATAGGTTGCGGTTAAGGGGTTGACTGGTAACGGGGTTAGGACGGCCCGCCTGGGTAGACCCAATAACTAATAGAAAAAAGTATAGGGGGGTGATAAAAGCTGTGGTTGCGATTATCCAGCCCATATCAAAGGGGTGGGACGACCGCTATTTAAATCCCTCCCCTTGCCTGTTCTGCAGCACAGCCATGAAGATGCATCCATGCGGAGGGCCGTCAGAATAAGGAGTAACGCCGAACGGTCACCCAACCGAGTACCACGGCAACTGTACCGGATACTGTAACTGTCTCCAACAGCCTCTGAAACTGGCTCATGTTTCTATATTTCTTTCTTCTGTGCCGTTCAGATTCGCTGCTTCAAGTTGAGCTCCACGGCTGCTGGGCAAATCCTTGGTCACGTGTCCCGGTATTACTCCGAGAGCGCTCTTCGTCGGCGGTAGGCCCGGACTGGGGCTGTGCGGCTAAAGACGAGTTCACGACGTGGCTGGAGGAGTTTATTATCGCCAGGCATAGGCTGTTATATCAATTTTGATCACTCTTCCGAGAGGTGGTTGTCGTTGAGGGGCCGGCAGTGCAAAATGGGTCAATATGGTGAACTACTCGCCTGCCGATGCCAGGAAAGCAAAAAAATCAATCACGAGTGTTTCAGCATCATGTATGTCAGCGATCAAGTACCCAAGGGCACTAACCTTAAATCCCTAAACTAGCGTTTGGAGACAGAGTTAGGCTGTCGGGCCATTCTTCCGCCCTCTTCCACACGGAGATAAACAATCCCCTCTAAGCTGCAGCTAAAGGGAGCTTGCCGGCGAGGTGGAAAGATGCAATGCAACGTCTAGCCGGTAAGGCAGCTTTTCGCAGACACATCATCGTTGCGTAACTCGCTTGGAGAGAAAGCCGTTCCACGTGACCATATCAAACCTTAAAGGTAGGATACCTGCGTAGTCCAAGAAGAGGGCAAAAGGGAGGATCGAAGCTCTATCATGAATAGCAGACTAGTTGAACATGGGCCAAGAGGCGAAGAGTAGATGGGGAGACACAGAACAAAAGCAGCCCTATACATTTTTTTCGAGGAGGAAACAAACCACCACATGGCTATATCTGTGAAATAAACGGATCCATTCGTGTTTCAATGAGAGCCCTGGAAGAAGACATAACACAGAACTCACTCAAAAGGGGAGAAACAAAAAAAAAAAAAAAAAAAAAAAAAAAATTAAAACTCTCAAACGCCAATGATAGATGGAAAACCAAAAGAAGAAACACCTGAAAAATTCCCAGTTAAGTTGCTCGGTAGATACCAGCGACAATGCAATGGTCACGCTCGAAAGGTTCTAGAAAAAGGAGTCAGTTATATATTCGCATTAATAGGTGGCAAGATCTTGATAAGAGTGGATACGCACCAAGTGTAAGCTGCTCCTTTGGTTTTATCTTCTCGTCTCTCATCTTTTGTACTTCTCTGGCAAACACAACCTCTGGTTTGGCGGTACTGTCAATACAGTTGGCTTTGACACTGACAATAACACCACCACCAGTCTTCAAGAAGAGATGAGCGTTGAGGCCAACAATACGGGCCTGGTCAGGTTGGGCAACATCAGCAAAAATGACATCAACCATGCCAACCAGCATTCTGTAGCGGAGAGGGTGACGGGCATCCTCGACAATTGGAATAACGTTGGTGCGGTGAGTGGCCATGCCAATCAAATCACGGCCAGACCGGTGGGAGAATTCCACAGCATAAACGGTTCCGGTGGGCCCAACTATGTCAGCAACGTGACTGACGGAGGTACCGCTGGCGGCTCCGAGGTACAGAACCTTTGACCCTGGCTTCATGTAGATGTCATCGAGACCACCGAGGATACCTGCAGCAAGCTTGCTTCTGAAGGGGTTCCAGACACGGTATTCAACTTTGGTAGCGGGCTCATCCCCTGTGGAGGGTCCCTCGACGGATATGCGCTTCTCGCCGTACACAGATTCTCCAGGAGTGATGTTTTTGGTGACAAGGAGGTCCTCCTTTCCACCACGCGCAACGAACACGCCTCCGTGACGATGGGGTTCCTAGGCGAAATACCATATCAGCTCAACCTGCGGGTCAAAAGTTATAATATAAATGCCACCCAGGACTTACCACAATGACCTTGGCACCACCACGGGCACCGGCCTTTCCACCACGTCCGCCACGTCCAGCACCGCGGCCCCTTGCGGCTCCTCGTCCACCTCCACGGCCGCCTCTGTCACCACCACCGCGTCCGCCGAAGCCACCTATTTCAGTCAGCCACTCCGCTCTTTAGATCTGCAAATTGAGGGATAATGCAAAGCTAACAGTCCAAATGAATCTCTGCCGGGGCTTGGATTCAATTGGACCGCCATTGGCAGCTCTTCTGCAGGTACAAGGGATTTTACACACCGCGTCCACCACCGCGAGCACCGCCTCTTCCGCCTCGTCCTCCACGACCACCACGGTCACCACCACGTCCTCGAGGAGCTCCAAATGCCATTATACCAAGATACCGAGCTTGCTTTTTTTGCGAATGAAGTATCGATTATTCTGTTAACAGCCCGTCTTTTGCGGAGTGGCTGGACCTGAATGCGATTTGATCTGGTATTGAGCGATAAACGGCGGGGTATATCCGTTCTAAAGGTCGAATAGGTCGCTTCCCCGGAGAGAAGAATATATCGACCTGCGAAATTATTTGAGACAGCCGACCGGCGATATTTGAATTGAAGGATATTTATTCAAGGTCTTTAGAATTTGATTCTATTTTTTTTGCTTCTTCATTTTTTTTTTTCGCACGATGATTTTGCTAAGCTTCTAACCAAAAACAGCTAGACTTGCTCTTAGATTATGTAACAAAATTCCCCATCACGTGAATATCCACACGTGACTGTTAGGTGGTCCGAGCGCACATAGTGGCTTATCTAAGCAGGATTTCGGGTTATGGAGCGTCTCGATTTCCTTCCTTCACGGACAACAAAACAACAGCTTAATTGATATTGCATGTGCCATAAAACCTAACGCCAATACTCCGGTTTTTTAACTATGTTCATACCTATGTACATATCTGCTGTTTTTCTCGTCCCATAAATACATGCAACAACCCTGTGCTAACTATGCAAGACCGCAAAATAATGACGATCAGAAGAAAAGGGTATGATGAAGGAAACTGAAAATACATGGTAAAGAAAACAAACAAAAGAAATTCATAACATTAGCCACTTTTATTTCATCCATAAAACCAGTACTCGGCGGAATATTGGATCTGGATCTGTTCTGGCAGTCCAGCACAGGTTGGTGGTGCTTTGCCTCCAGCAGTGTTCACACGATATACCCTCTTTGCCTGCCCTTTGCTAGAAGGAGTCGATTCAAGCATCAACCAGCTAACAGCGCCTTCTTGCTCATCCTTGACACCCTTCATAGCGTTGGGTGGTGCATCCTTGGAGTCGACCTTCTTAACACCACATATACCGAGCTTTGGCAGGTCAAATGTTGGCACGCCTTCACCGTTGAAGTAGTGGTGACCCATCACCATTAGGTCTACTGGGCCACGAGCGTTGGTGAATGGAGACGGGTTGGTGAGTTCGAGGGCAACGTTGGGGAGAAGCGAGAGTAGGTAAGGGTAGTTGGATGCAATGCATGAGGCGTCAAACAACGTGGCAACTGCGCCAGTAGCTTTTGGTGCTTGGTCTGGGGATAAGCCAGCGCAGGTATAATTCTGTCGCTTGGTTAGTACGGACTCATCTAATGTTGTCGGTGATAGTCGGTGAAACGTACTTGAGTACCACGTCCCACTGCAACCGCAAGCAGCTTCTGGTCTGGGGGAACTTCCGATAGCTGTGGATTGCTTGGGAGCACAGCTTTGGAGAGGTCACAATTAGGCTGACGCGGGAAGCCTTGGTTGGCGTGTTTGGAAATATAGTCGCCAATTTCAGTGAGCCATTTGGCAGAACCCGGAGACCAGCCAGCTGGTGCAGCGTTCACTCCCGCCAATGCGATACAGGCAGAGAGAATTATGGAAAAGCGCATGTTGGGCAAGTTGGTATGGTTGGGGTTTTTTTATTTTTTCGTTTTAATATTTTTTTGGTGATTTGGCAATGAATGGCAATGAAGGAACCGTTTCGTCAAGAAACAGTGATTTCAAACAAACAACGGATCAACCGAAGGAAAGAAATAAACGAGGAACAGCAGAAAATAAATTAAATAAACAAGAGAAAGAAAGAAAAGGAAAGGAAAAAGTCGGATATCGCAGACCAGATGCAATACCGTGAAGAGATGAGATACAGAGTGAAGAAAATTGAAGCAGGACAATCGCCAACAGAAATCATCTTTATATACAGATCGCCTGGCAGGATTTCCCCTTTGAGCGATTCTTCAGAACATGCAGAGACTTCCATGCAGCCGCCCACCAGGACCCAAAAAAAGAACAACCCCAAACACCCAAACTCTCGCACAATTGCTCCCAGGGCGAAGATGAACGCTCAATGGCCGGAAGGCTCACGGATAAAAATAGCCGTGAGCAAGGGCCAATCAGTTGATGGTCGGTGCATGGCGGCTCGCAGGGATTGTCCCTGTGACTATCTTTAGCCAGGGGCCCAACGACGAATACGATTGGCTGTGTGTAAGCGCCGAATGAACCCATGGCATGGAGTAACCTTCAGCTCAAACCATGCTCTGCAGGACCTCAGGCTCTTCCGCGGACATATCTCCTATTCAAAATCCACTCTTCAGATTCCAGAAATAGGTTCTCGCCATCGACTTCAACGTTCGGCATTTCAGTTTTGCCCTCAGGGTTGCAATGCACTGTGGTAGGCCACTTGGCTCGTTCCTTATCTAGCTGTGAATCGCCACAGTTATCTTCTGTTAACTAACTAGTTAGCTGGCTAGACTCAGCTAACCCCGTACAATTTTATACCCTGGAAATGGCATTGACTTCCCGTCAGTTATTTCCATTTCCAGACCGTGCCGCACCCTTGCTACCTATTTCCTTGCATTGAATACCCCCGTATGTCTTTGCAGTGCCCTAGCTAGTTCAAGAAATTAACCACTGTCCACCAAGGTTGTACTGCCTTCCTGGAGACCCTGTAATTTATCTCTTTTTGGAATTATACTCCGTCAGGGCTTCGGCTCGAGGCGAGACACTCACATGCATGCCACAGCGTACAGCAATGCGTATGCATGAAATTCGCAGCAACATGTCAGTTGGCTTCTGCTGAGTTAGTTACCCGGGCTACCCGTCCGGCATGCATGATTCTCAAACATTGCCACATGTCCAAGCAACGGATATACGCCGTTGAAAATAGGGTCATCACGTTCGAAACGATACGATATGCATGACATGTATAAATCATAAGGCTAAGGTTGGCGCGTACAGATGGCAACGATCAACTCAGGGTAGATCATATATTGACTACCTTGGCTAGCATACATCACTTGAATACTGGTAGACAGACTCTTCAACTATATACAGGCAGAGGTGTGATGGCACCTGAAGGGGAAAATCTTAAGGCCTAACAACGAGTACATATTGGTTAAAGAAAAATCAACTCCGTCTAGACATAAAGAAATGTCAAGCCTCACACAGAAGGATACGAAAATCTCCGCGAAATAACTTATCAAACACATATGGTTTCAAAGAAAGACTAGTTAGCCAAGGGGACCATCTTCCGCTCCGTTGAGATTTTGACCCCTGCCATGGTCTAGCATGATGCCAGCATGCTTCTCGATACCTGTAGTGCTCATAGAATACAGCATTATGATTAAGAAGATGTGCAAAGCAAAGCAATATGCCGCAAATAGATTTCTGCTTGTCCTGTTGGCAAGAACCATCCTGGTAATTGAGAAAATGATCCGCTCCGGCACACTCATGCGCTTATATGCACGAGCAGACTCACGGCCTCTAAAGGCTGCGAATGGCGATATCTGAGCCTCGTATGCTGACTGGTATCTATCAAGTGACAGACCAGATGGGGTATCAGGATCCACTTGGATTGCCGTCGCGTTCGGCCTGTTTGAATACGGTGTTGCAGTTGAGGATGTCGATGCTTGACCCCTATTATATGTTGACACATACCGGGTCTTCTCATAAAGACTAAGATTATCTTTCTGTAACGATGCGACTTCTGCCCGCAGAGATTTGACGATACCATATGTCTTTGAAAGCTCTTCTTCTAGCTCGCTGTTCTTCTGCTTGAAGCGATCACGCTGTGCTTGGACCATTGGAAGAATGCCGGAGCCACCCCCAACAGGCTCACCCGCCCGAATTGCTTCCATAGTGGTAGGAGACATGGAATTATCGAAGCCGGAGATAATGGAGGAGGTAGGGGATACCCGCCCTCTACGGGAGCCGTGAGGGTACCTTGATACATATGTTCCTGCTACTGACATGGCAGAGGAGTTGGTTGTTTCACGCTGGATGTGCAGGAGGTCATTCTCCAGTTTAGTGGCCAACTTCCTTGATTTTTCCAATTCCGAATTGGTTCGTGAGAGCTCTTCTCGAAGGGCCCCTAGTTGGCCTTCTAGATCTTGATGAGATACTCGCAAGATCGTGAGCTCATTCGATAGTTTCTTGTTGCGTGCAAGAAGCAATTGTTCTAAGTTATTCTCCTTGGAGTTTGAGGGTTTGGAATCGTCAACAGAGGTATCAGGTTCATCATCTCCAGTTGAAAATTCAATGGACTACCGCAGTTAGTAAAGGAATTGGTACCTAGACTAGATGAAAGCATACCTTGATGACCTCCAACTCGCGCTTGATATCATCATAATCTGCAAATTTAGTAAGCTTTTCACGGAGTTCATCTCGCTCTCGCGTAATCTTTGAGCTAGTTCGTTCGCACTGGCGGAGTTTTCCTTCCCAGGTATTTTTCTCCGCATCCTTATCAAATCGAGCAGCCTCGAGCTTCCGCATTAACGAAGAATTCTCAGTTTGCAATCGCAGGTATTGGGGATCTTCCTCCACGGGGCGGGAACTTTGTTCAGATTGACTCTGAGAAACTGCTTGGGCAAGCTCGAGACTAAGTTGCTCATTGCGAGCCTCCACCTCCGCTAGACGGATGCTGGTTCTCTCTAAATCCGAAGCGACTATTTCGAGCTCAGCTGCTGTTGCCGCACTGCGCGTGTCCCCTTCAGTATTCTCGCTGTGGTCCAGCCGCTGCGAGACTTCGTAGCTTGCTTTAAGCTCCTTAAGCAAACGGTCATGGTTTTCGGCCTTTTCTTCGAATGCCTTCTCCTTTGCTTCCCAGTTGCTCGTCTTTTCCGCCAATGCAGCTTTCCAAGAGGCTTCAACTTCCTGGATCTTCTTATCCTGGTTCTCTTCTAGTTTTAGTCGTGTAGCACGTTCTTCAGCTAGTCGTTTCTCGGTCTCCTCGAGCTGATATGTTAGACGGTTGACACTGTTCTGCAAAAAGTCCTTTTCAGCATTCAACTTGGGGACGGTATCTTCGGATAGAACTAGAGAGTCGATCGAGGCTTCAAGAAGCGGATAAGGGTCCGGAGCTTCAGATAACGCAGTATATAACTGTAGAAACGAAGAGGAGGCAACCTTCCCTTGGTTTGTGAGGAGATCTATAAACGCCTGATATGCTTTTAAGGTTGTCAGCGAAAAGATCCCCTGTTCCATCATAGCTATAAATACACACATTTCAGCAGCCCCTTATACTCCGATAGTTTTGAGGCATCGTCTAGCTTCCTGAAATCCTTTGTCTTTTGCGCTAGATCTTTCCTCTGGACGAGGGAGTCTCTCTGGTGTGACACGATGTCAGAGGCGGTCGTATCGTGTTTGGCAATCAGGTTTGCAAGATCAATTCCTACACAAAGACATAGTTAGCAGGCCATCCATTAAATCCTGTCGTTAAAGGAAAGGAACACACCTCGCCATACTGCAATAGCTCGCTGGAACTTGTTCTCCTCCTGAACCTGCTCAGGTGTCTTGTTAGTCTCAGCGCTGCGGCCATTCTCAGTAGCCTGTGAAGTTGCACTCTCAGACGCAATCAACGGATCCATCTTCTCTCTATATCTGGAATGATAATCCTGATCTATCCTGCATAACAACAAAAGAGGCGTTGCCAGGAAGAAGAGGTCCTCGCCAACTGCATGTCTGCCTCCGTGTCAACTTGCGAAGCTCCAGAAGAACGTTGGTCGCTTACGTAAGCTGCAGCCTCTCCACGCTGTAACTTAGAAGAAGCTTCGGGACGGGGATGCAACAACAGGCAGCAGAAAACAGACAACAAACGACAGCAGACAAGAGAGGCTGGCTTGGAGCACCGTTTGGGCGTGAGTCTCTGGGGCAGAGCATGCCTTGAGATGCGCGAAGTTGAGCCAGTATTATGGGATCTGATGGTGACATCGATCCGCGCCGGAAACGGAGGCGCATCAGCCCTCCAGAGACAGGTCCCTATGTGCTGCGGCCGCTACTCGAAGATGTCCCGGTGCAGGCGGAAGATGGGGAGGGACAGGCATATATAACCTGCGTGGAATACTGGAGTACGCATTGCTTTTCTTGTGCCATTTGATTGCTTCAGAATGTCTTTGTTCTAACACTTGGCTTGTGAACAGATGAGAATCTATACGTTGGCACCTCCGCAGGCGAGATATTACACTTTGTTTCTCTTCCATCTGAATCAGAGCTCGAAGCTGGCAAACCCTCATTCATATTAGCTTCAAGACAGCCCATTACATCGTCGGCTCGTACCGGTACTTCCTGCGGAATACAGCAGATTCTAGTACTTGCTACGGCCAGCAAGGCCTGCGTCCTTTGCAATGGATCCGTCTTCTTCTACTCTTTGCCAGAGCTCAGCCCCGCCTATGGGACAACAAAGGTGTCCAACTGTAACTGGATTGGTGGTCTTGATCTTGACGAACTAGATGCCGAGGATGGGGAGGAAGCTTCAGACCCTATCATCATGGTGGGAATGCAGGACAAGATAATGCTTGTGAAGATCGGGGGAGGACCGCGAAGAGTGAGGAATATTGAATTTCCTGGGTGCCTGATTGCAAACCGAAGGGGTACCATAGCGTGTGTAGCAGATTCCCGTTCTTATGCGTTGCTTGAGGTTGAGCATCGTCAGAAGATACCTTTATTCCCAATCTCCTCAAACGACGAGTATGACGAATTTAAAGTAGAGGATATACCATCTCGGAGTGAAAGCCCCGCACGGGACAAATTGCCAGTCGCTTCAAATGGGAATTCTGGGGTAAAAACCCATGGACGGAGCACTAGTTTGAATGCTATAGCCGCCAGCTCAGAGCTGCGTCAGCAGAGCACACAACCTGACGTCTCAGGAACATCTACCCCTGACTCGCTTGCGGAAGGCAAACTACCGAAACCAACTAGTTCCCATGATAGGCGATTATCAATTCCAAGCAGGTCTCCGTCAGCCGCTCCAGGAGATGGACTTGGTCAGAAGCCACTCCCGCCAACCCCGAGCCCAACTCCAAAGAAACCAACCTCAATGTTGAAACCACATATTGTATCGCCTACACCTTCTGAGTTTCTGCTGGTTACAGGGACGGATGCTTCGAGTCCTGCTGTTGGTATGTTTGTCAACCTCGAAGGCGAAACTGCAGAACGGGGAACTATTGAATTTCAGACATATCCCGATGCTATCGTGCTTGACAATGGAGATGAAGACCCAAACTCTCACCCAAGCGGCGATGATGCCGATGGGTACGTTTTGGCAGTGGTAAATGCAGCTATTGATACGGAGGCTGATGGAGAAGTTACGGAAGAAAAGTGTTTAGAGGTGCAAAGATGGGACGTGAATCCCGGGGAGGGAGGGAGACAACGATCCCTAATAAATATTTCGCTTGAACCGCCCGTGTCTGGGCCTGTTGGGGTTGCTCGGACAGTCAGCCCGAACAAGATAAATTTTGCAGATGTCGGGGAGCTTCTACAGGTTGTCCGGCTCAAGGTGCCAGACCTACGAACTCCTGGATCGATGACGCCGCAAAAGAACAATGATCCGAGGACAGAGGCATCTATAGAGCAGCTGCAAAAGGAAAAAGAGCTATTTGAAAACGACTCCGACAGCTCTAAACAGGTCAAATTGCGGCGTGGATGGGAAGCAGAACGGAATGAAGAAGAATTGGCATTTGCAAAAACACTGGGTTATGTGAAAAGTAACGTCATGCTGTGGGAGGGAAATCAGATATGGCGTGTACTCCGTAACCCGCTGGCATTACAACTGGAAAATGCCCTTACGCTCACTCAAGAGATACAGGACGCAAAGACTTGTCGGATTGCTGACAAGGGCGCGATAATAGACATGATGGCAAGACTTGATTCGATTTTACCCAGAACAGCTCCTGAGTCTCTCGGGTTGAATTATGTTAAACAAAAGGCAAGTCTGTTGCTTTTTGGGGACCTCATTGCAACAAATCCTGAATATCAAACCCCAAGTGCAATTAAGTCTGTGGAGGATGTGTTGATTGCCGGAGAGTTAGACCCTCGCATCATCATTCTCTTTACACCCTTGCTTAGAGAAGAGATCCTGCAAGGGCCGCAGGGGATTTGGATTTGTGCCGGGCTCACCAAAGTCATTGATACCCTTTTGGAAGTGTCCAAGGACCAAGATGGGACGATCAAGTTCAACTTTACAGAGCCAATCCTACGGATGCTCGTCAGATACTTGACTTCCTGGCACCGGAAGAGAGGATACGGGAGCGTGACCGATGATACCTATGTGTTTGACAGTGTGGATTCCGCTCTTCTTCGTCTCCTGCTTCATCTTGATGCAACACACAATGAGGCAGTGAACGGAAAGATAGTGGCGTCTGACCTCCGGCAAGAGCTTAACAAGCTGGTTGACAACTGGAAGGGAAATTTCACCCGTGCAGTCGAGTTACTAGAATTATACCAGCGGCTGTTTGTCTTGAGCCGTCTATATCAGAGCCGCAAAATGTCCGGCCATGTTCTGAGGACATGGCGCCGAACGATCGAAGGAGAGAAGGATGTTGGGGGTGAGATGACCATTCCGGCAGTCGAGCTCCAAGTACGGAAGTATTTGGTGAAGATAAGAGATCCGAACCTGGTTGAGGAGTATGGGCTCTGGCTCGCGGCGAGGAACCCCAAGCTTGGAATTCAGGTATTCTCGGATGATAGCAGCAGAGTCCAGTTTGACCCGCCACAGGTGATTCGAATATTGAAAGATCGTGCTCCTGGCGCTGTACAAGTCTACCTTGAGCACCTTGTCTTTACCAAAAATGTGTGTATTCACTGAAGCTCTTATTTCATACCTATTCTTGATCGTTACTGACTTGCCTACCAGATTACACGATACGCCGACGACCTGATATCTTATTATCTTGACACCGTTATCTCCGTTCTAGAAACATCACCTGAAGCCAGGGCTTCCCTTACTGAATCATACTCTACCTACCGTGCTCTCCGACCTCCAAAGCCCTCATACCTAAGCTTCATTACTGAAAACGCACCTCCAGAGCCGTGGTGGCAATCTCGTCTCCGGCTGCTACAACTTCTTGGAGGAGCTGCCAGAAGCCAGTTTACCTCCGCAGCATCTCTCCCCTCAGATCTACCTTACTCCATCTCTGCAGTACTCGAACGAATCGAGCCGTTTAAAAATGAACTAGTGTCTGAATGTATTATTCTCGGCGGCCGCCAGGGACGGCACGATGACGCCCTCCACCTTTTAACCCACGGCCTCGGCGATTATGACTCCGCAATCCGATACTGTCTCTTTGAAGGATCAGGCGCCTCCGCATCTCATAGCATGTTTTCCCGGAAGTTTGCCCCCTCTGAGGGGCAAAAGCAGCTTTTTGCGGGGCTCCTCCGGGAATTCCTTCATATCGCCGATCCTTCAGAACGTACCGAGCGAACGGGAGACCTGCTGGCCCGATTCGCTCCGCTCTTCGATGTGCGTGAAGTACTTGACCTGGTCCCTGATGAATGGAGCGTGGATGCTCTCAGCGAATACTTTGCCCGGGCTTTGCGTGACCTTACATCGGAATCTCGAAACGCAAAGGTCCAGCGTGCACTTAGCGCCGGACTTAACCTCAAGGTTTGTGCCGACTTCATCAAGGAGTCGGAGAAGATCGGCGGATGGATTGAAGATGCTGGCGACGTCAAGCCTTTGAAAGCAAGCAGAGATAGCACCACAGAGTCAGAGCCCCAGGCTGAGGGTGCTGCTAAAAACAATCAATCACCTAACGAGGCCGGCACCCAGATACGGCCAGACGACACCCTGAAGATATCTTGACATATTATTATCTCACATGCTTTTTCTTTCTCCTTTATCTCTTTTGATTTACAGTGTGCTTAGCCCAAGGGATTGTGTCTATATATCAAGCCGAGCGTCTAGATTCACTAGTTAACTAGTTTCTAACGGCGTCATATTTGCCATTATTATAATAAACCTGCCTCCCTTTCAGTGTATCCGGCTTCAAGATGGCCCATCCATGTCCAAGAATCGCCGAGACGGCTGGGATCGAGATCCTTCAGGCCTATAACTCCCGGCAGTTGATGCCCGGAAGAGTTAGATGATTACTAGCCTTGTAATTTAGGCACAGGGCGTCATACCGACCAGTATATATAGTTAGCATTGAGCATCCTAACTATACGCCAGATCTAACTTCACAGCGTCTTTCACTACACTTAGATCTTGTCTATCAAGCTGCCCAAGATGGCTCAGGCTCGCCGTTCAATCTATCACAACCCAAATGCGAAGCAGTTCAGGCTTGACCGCGAGGTGGCGGGCGCAGAGAAGCAATTCCATCAATCTCTACCATCATACGAACCAAGCCCACTCGTCTCTCTCGACAGACTTGCAAAGGAGATCGGAGTGTCCAAGGTCTTCATCAAGGATGAGAGCAGCCGTCTAGGTCTCCCGTCATTCAAGATCCTGGGTGCTTCATGGGCCACCTACCTGGCTGTGTCGTCACATCTAAAGCTGTCCGGCCCCTCTCTAGATGAGCTCTCCCGCGCCGCCGTCAGTGCTCGTATCAAACTGCTGGCTGCGACAGATGGCAACCATGGACGGGCCGTTGGTCGAATGGCGAAGATCCTGGGGATATCCTCTGAGATCTTCATTGGCAAGAATCTGGACCAACATACTCGGGACCTGATAGCCGGTGAAGGGGCGACGGTCACCGTTGTTGAGGGAGACTATGACGATGCGATCTCTGCTTCTGCGAAAAAGGCAGATGAATACCCTAATTTCATTTTGGTTCAGGATACTGCTTTTGAGGGCTACGAGAAGATCCCTGCCTGGATTGTCGATGGCTACTCTACGATGTTGACTGAAATTGACGACCAACTGCAGGATCAAGGGTTGAAAGCTACGGTTATAGTCTCGCCCGCTGGCGTGGGATCCCTCTGCCAGGCTGTGGTGTCTCACTGCAAGACTAATGGAAAGGAAATGTCAGTTCTTACTGTCGAGCCGGATGTTGCTGCTTGTCTGCACAAGAGTTTGAAGGCTGGAAAGATGACGCAGGTCAAGGTATCGAAGACGATAATGAGCGGAATGGAATGCGGAACTGTCTCATCTATTGCATGGCCAATATTGCAATCCGGAGTCGATGCCAGCGTGACTATCTCTGACTACGAGGCTCATCAGGGAGTTCAGTACCTAAGCTCAAAGGGAGTTAATGTTGGACCTTGCGGTGCTGCTGGTCTATCTGGTCTACGACATGTTGCAAAGACAAACCCATCCTGTATCGGTCTGACTTCCGATTCTGTTGTTGTTATTCTCGGGACAGAAGGAAGTCGTCCGTATACTACACCCAGGGATGTTTCTTCAGATGATTGTGTTGAATTAACCCAGACTTTGACTCAGATCAACTCCTCTAACCCATCTGAGACGAACCCTAGTGGTGTTGGAGAAGGTGAGATAGCGAACTATATCACTGCCTGGTTGGAGCATCGAGACCTGGAAGCTCATCGGCTAGAGGGTACTCCTGGCAGGCCCTCGGTGATAGGTGTCCTTCGAGGCACTGGCGGAGGTAAATCCCTGATGATGAATGGCCATATCGACACCGTTACGCTGGACAGCTACTCATCTGGGCTTGACCCCCTTTCAGGAGAGCTAGCCGTATCCTCTGCCGGACGCAAGAGGGTGGTAGGACGTGGAACGCTGGACATGAAGGCTGGCATTGCAGCTTCAATGGCTGCCCTGGCAATGGCCAAAACATCTTCCCCTCCACCCCGAGGAGACGTCATATTAGCAGCCGTTGCGGACGAGGAGTACTCGTCCATTGGCACCAAGGAGATACTCAAAGCAGGCTGGCGTGCCGATGGAGCTATCGTGGTCGAACCAACGCTAGAAACGATCGCCCATGCACACAAGGGGATGACGTGGCTAGAAATAGAGATATTGGGCGTTGCTGCCCATGGATCCAGGCCTGACGACGGGGTAGATGCAATTCTGCTCTCGGGATACTTCCTGACAGCCCTGAAAGAATACGAATCCAGCTTGCCAGAGGATAGTGATTTAGGCAGAGCGTCTCTACACGCCAGCTTGATCAAGGGCGGGATTGAACCGAACAGTTACCCTGCCTCATGCAAGATGACAATTGAATTCAGGACGATCCCTGTTCAAACTAAAGAGGGCATATTGGCTGATGTTAGTGATATACTGGCGAAGATCAAGAAGCGAGTCGTGGGGTTCAAGTACCGGCCTCCGCAGGTCGTCGCGCACAAAGCTCCATTTGAGATTGCGAAGGATCACCCCTTTACGCGGTGTGTGTATAATGCTACTGGCAAGGTATATGGAAATCCTTGTGTGTTCCAGGCCCTGGATCCCTGGACAGATGCAGCTCTGCTTCATGACGCGGGAATTCCGTCGATTGTATTTGGTCAGTCTGGCGCTGGTTTGCATTCAGAGTATGAGTGGGTTGATGTTGAGAGCATCCAGAGGACGGAGGGTGTGATATCTGCACTTATCCAGGATTTCTGTGGCTAATCTAGCAAAGTTTGAGGAAAGAAAAAGGCACGTTTGTGACAATGACGGAATGAGAGATGATAATAATGCATTAAGTATTCGATATTGTATTCACATTTCCCTGACGACTCCAGAGTAACCACCTGGACCGCATATTGTCTCTATAATAAAAGTGAGCCCAGTAACCGTTATACCAACCCATTACTCGTCATCTTCGTCCTCGTCCTCTTCATCGTCCTCGATACTCTCAACGAGAAGGTTGACTCCTCTGCCGATTCGCTCCCTTACCGTGCCTCCAGCTTCAAGTTCATATACAGCACGAGGCATTGGCGAGACAAGACGGAACCCATACTTATGTTCGAAGTTTTCTGGCTCTGTAACTTCCGAGCTATTTTCGTCTTCCTTGTTGGCATTGTCCTCCTCACTTGGGTGTAGTACGTCGTAGCATTCAACGAACGCGTAGACTTCCTCTATATCAGCATCACCGGAGAAGCGTCGTATGACCCTATCTCCCGAAGTCAAGCGAAGGCTGATACGGATCGCATCCTTGTTGTCTGCCGATGGCTCTGCAGGTATAGATTGTGCTCTCCATTTCTTCCACTGCTGGAGGTCCTTGTAATGCTTCTCAGCAGCGGCCTGCTGCTCCCTGGCCTCTCGCTCCTGACGCTCACGCTCGGCCTCAGCCTCACGTCGCTGTCTTGCTCGTTCCCTATCCTGGGCCAGGGAACGTTCATAAGCAGAGTCCTGTTCCTGCCGTAGCGTCCGTGAAGCCTGTTGCTCTGCTCTCGTGGAGCGGACGCGGTCGAGAGAGGCCTTATGCTGATTCGTAGCTGCACGGAGCTTCTCAAGGAACTCGGAAGGGGAAGTGAGGCCTGGAATCCTACCTATGATCGACATGGCGGTGGATGAGACGTTGGGGGTATGAGCAATGGCTACTGCAAAGGGAAACTTTGTGCATTTAAGCGAGTTGGCCACCTGGTATGATTCAGAGTCATGGACGTTTCCACCCCAGAGAAGCACATTGTTTGAAGGGTCGTTTATGTATGTAACTACCTCCGGAGAGAGTAGGGTGTCCCGCACCCAGACGTCGGTGTCATCATGTTCCGGAGAGAGTAGAACGACTAGCAGAAACTTGAGATCCTTGTGGGACTTCTCAAGAGCCATGTTATATCCGTTTTCAAGGAACGGGAGCGAGTGAGGCCCATATTCTTCCTCAAACTCCCGAATGAACCGGGCTGCTGTATCCTTTGGAGCAAGAGCTCTTCTCCCCTGAGAAGACTTATTAATTCTCGACATTGCCGAGCTGGAGAAGGTATTTAATAGGCGAGGTAGGAAGGGGAATAATGTTCCGAATAGGCGGAGGGAGCCAGAGAGCAGCCTATATATTAGATTAAATGGAGTAAACAGGAGAGCTAGTAGAAACGGCGGCCGGAAGGGAGGGGTATCGTTCGGCTGAGACGTTATCCGGGGGGCTGGATCGGCCTGCCGTATGGCTGATAGTATGTTCGAGCTCGAGTACAGGTCAGAAGCCATGAGGTTCTCGCGAGTCTGCGGTATAGGAGGCGGTACCCCGGAAGAATCCATGGCTGCTCGAGCTTCCTCGACGGGATCTGGAGCTTCCCCATCGAAGAACCTGGTTATAGCAATCTATATCACCCATCAGTATATCGTCTTTTAGTGTGCCCCCGTCTCTGCTCGGGCATCGAAAAAGTGTCAGCCTACCTGGACGTTCCATTCTGAGCGCCTGAGCAGCGGAATAGCAGCCTCTCGGTCCTGGCCCGTCACAGCCAGATATGTCTGCAGCGTATTCTCCTGGTTCGTCGAGAGCTGGGCGCCCTCTCCATCGTCTCCGGACATGTTATCTCGAGGTGGTCGAGCTGCTCATCCGCCACTGCTCGTGTGCTTTGCTCCCTGGCTGTAGGCAGGCGACAAGACAGCTGTGAGTCCCGTACTCTGGGATGTTTTAGACACCGAAGTAGCTCTCAGCGGTGACTAGCAAGGCCAAGTAACTCTTCCTAGACTCTGCCAGCGCTCGTCTTCGTCCTCGCTGCGCCGCTTCAGCTGCTCTTCTGACGTCTTCGCCTTCGACTTCGACTTATGATGAAATCCAAAAAAGCTCCCAAAAGCCACGATTCACATGTATCGTAAGGCTGTTGCGTAATATAACAGTCACGTGACTGATGTCCAGCCAGTACCGATGTAATGGTACGGTATTTCTCATTACATAAGCCATGGGAAAAAGGAAAAAGGAACATCTCGAACTTCTCGCAGCGAAAGCGAGCGATATCAAAGTCGAAGCACCACGCCGAAACGGACGCCAGAAGACCGGAGTCGCTCTTTGCTCGCCGTGTGTGTCGGTGCCCTGTCCGCCGCCGACGTCTGATACTGCTTGGGCCGGTCTGCATCCGGAACATTGGCGCAGTGCCTGGAGTTAAAGACGTCAGTGACTGTTTCGCCGCTCTCCCGCGCCCGCGCCAGCCAGCGCCCACACCCCCCCAAGCAGCTTAAAGGAATGCGCGGAGTCGCCCATCGATCTCTCGTCTACGATCTGCTACCCCCCAGCCAAAGCCGATGGGGCCTCTCTCGCGCTGACTTGCGTGTGCTGTGATCTGTGGAGGAAATGGCATCGATAGCGAAACCGGGACTCGAGGACGGGAGACGTACCAATGGCTCTCCAAAGCTGAAAGGGCGCGGTAAGCTGCAGCGACGAAGCAACACCCCTTGCCCTTCCTCTCCTCCTCCGCATATTCGTTTCGTTTGTTATAATAATAAAGAGCAGCTTGTCTAATCTCGTCTGTTGTGACTGACCGATCAGTGGTAGAAAACGCAAAGGATACGCTCTGCCGCAATGTGACGATCTATGGCAGGTGTCGATATGAGGATAAAGGTGTGCAACTCGACCGTCTTCGTTCACTTGCAAGACAACAGACCAGCCCAGCTCAGCCCGACCCCAACTCACAAACCCTCCCCCTGAAAGCCACGATGGGTTTCTAACCATGCGTTTAGGATGCGCGTTTAACCATGACCCGCAGAAGGTGAATGCGGCGCAACATGAAAGGTTGGGAGAGATGCAATATTCAATGATTCTATGCGTTTTCTTAATGCATTTTTTCTGAAGCTCAGATAGCTCATGTCTGGCCTCCAGTAGCAGTGGTGCCGGCGTCAAGCAGAAACGGTTGAATGTTGAGTCGCCCAGTTTCACTCCCTCGACCACGCCGAACAACGGCACAGCTCCGACCTCAGCAGTCACGGCGAAGAAGCCGGCTACGCTGTCTCCAAAGGCTGCCGGTGCAGCGCCCTTTCTTCCCAAGGGGTCACTCTCACGTACGTCAAAGCTTAGGCATATGTAAAGAGAGAAGTAGACTGACTGTTGACCGCTTTCAGGTGCAAACTCGGGAATATCACAGCTACGTCAGGAGACCGGGACTCCGGAATGGGGTTTGACGGATGTACCTGACTTTGTGCCACAGCGGTTTGATACTGTGGTATGTTGCCTATTTTAATTCCAGCTTATAATCGGGACGGGGTCGTTTACTAAGATACTAATTGCGCAGGACTCGATGCAGGCCACCAACAACGGTGTCCTGGCCTCTGGGAATGCATATGACCCGTTTGTATCGACGACGACTCCGCTAGGCACTGCCGGAGCGGTTGTCACACACCCGCTTCAACCGAACCCTTACGCTCACGACCACACCGGTATCGGTCCCACCTCATATTTCACCGCTCAAAGCACCTTTCAGCAACCAGTACGTTAAAACACACTTCTCCTTTTTCCTCAGTAATTGTAGTGCTGATGGAGAAATTAGGCACAATATCATCTCTATGCCCCGATTGGACCTCATAACCAAAACATTCTTGGATATCAGCGGAATGTACATGACTTATTTATCCCGAATGACTTTAGAGAAGAGCTGCAAAAGAAAGCAGCCGCAACACTACAAACCCTTCCTAGTACGTTTAAACTGTTATATTTTATTCAGGGTTTGTTTACTGACTGCTGGTTAGACTCCCAACTACCTACTCAAATCGACCACTTTCACTCTCTTGTGCCGCTTGACGTAACGCACCAGAAAAATGCTACTATCTTCGGCTACCCTAGCTGGGTATATAAGGCACAGTCAAGTAAAGATGGCAACTACTATGTGCTTCGAAGGCTGGAGGGTATGCTATATAGATATATATATATATATGTTAATCTACGAGATAGAAGAGTCCAAAGCTAACTTCTTTAAAAGGCTTCCGGTTAACAAACGAAAAGGCAATCAGATGCGTGCAGGCATGGAAACGAGTCATCTCCGCCAGCGTAGTGACGGTGCACGATGCCTTTACCAACCGCAGCTTCCAGGACAGCTCCCTGATCTTCGTGACGGACTACCACCCGCTGTCCAAGACGCTGGCCGAGCAGCACCTGGAAAGCCCCACGCGGTACCAGAACCGGCACGCGAGCACGCATGTAACAGAGCCTGTGCTCTGGGGGTACGTGACACAGATCGCATCGGCCCTGAAAGCCATCCACAGCGCCGGGCTGGCCGCACGGGTGATCGACGCGAGCAAGATACTGCTGACAGGCAAAAACCGCATCCGACTGAATGCCTGTGCCATCCTGGACGTGGTGCAGCACGACACCCAGCGGTCCATCGCGGACCTACAAAGCAACGACATGGTCAGCTTCGGCCAGCTAATACTCACACTTGGAGCGAGCTCGTTAGCGCACAACCCAACCAAGGCGCTAGAACACTTCTCCCGCGCCTACAGCGCACAATTGTACAACTCGGTGTTGTGGCTGCTAGGCGCCGGCCCATCCAAGGAACCCCAAGGCCAACTCCAACCCGCCAACCAGAGCCAGAACCACAACGCAAATGCAAACCAGAATGCGAACCAGGGCTCCGACCGGACCATCGACGTGTTCATCACCGGCATCTCGACGCAGCTGATCTCGACCTTTGACTCATCCCTGCACGTCGACGACGAGCTAACGCACGATCTTAGCCGGGAACTTGAAAACGCGCGGCTAGTCCGGCTGCTGACCAAGCTCAACTTCATCACCGAGCGGCCCGAATACGACCACGACCGGCACTGGTCCGAGAACGGCGAGCGGTACTTCCTGAAGCTGTTTCGGGACTACGTGTTTCACCAGGTGGACAGCCAGAATGCTCCCGTAGTCGACCTGGGCCATGTGCTGACGTGTCTGAACAAGCTTGACGCGGGAAGCGAGGAGAAAGTGACGCTGATCAGCCGGGACGAGCAGAGCTGTTTTGTAGTGAGTTACAAGGAGCTGAAGAAGGGCGTTGAGATGTCCTTTCAGGCCTTGATGAAGAGGAGGTAAACAACTACCTAGAAAACTTTTTTTTTTCAAAAAAGGTATCTAAAAGGTATACTACAAGAACGGTTGGTAGAGAAAGAGAGGAGTGGGTGGATGGATGGATGGCAGTTGGGATATGGCAATTGTTTGTTTTATATATATCTGACCCGCCCGGAACCGATCTAGCCTTTGACTCTGCTAGTGCTTATATCAAGAATGAATCAACTACATATCAATACCATTGAATGCAGTAGATGCAGCTACTTTAGATTAACTATAAATGAAGTAGTAGTAGTAGTAGCAGTAGTACTTTTATTTATTCGTCTTCCTGCTGCACGAAAGGGTTGGCAATCTCCTCGCTCCCGTCCGCCGGCGAGAGCAGCACCAACAGCGTCCCCCTCGCCACGATCAGCCCCAGCGAGCGAGTCGTTACATTGTCATTATCATCTACCCCCAGCCAGTCAGCAAACATATTCAAACCATCTACTTCTTTAAAATCTAAATGTACTGTCTTACCCCGCATGGTCTCCTTGACATCGTCCAGCACGAGGTTCATGAGCTGATCATACCCCTTCAACACGCCGGTAACTAAAAAACACCAGTCAGCATTTGCACATCCACAGTAAAAAGGAAAACAAAGTCTACAAAGACTCACCCTCTCTGCCGCCGTTGAACTTGACGTTGACTTCCTTGTCCATGTACTTGGTCAGGTCCAGGATGTTCTCCTTCTTGGGCTTCTCCTGCTGCTGCTGGCCCTGTCCGTCTCGCTGCTGGCCCCCGTCTCTCTGTCCGTCCCGCTGACCTTGGCCATGGCCTCCCCGGTGCTGGCCCTGGTGACGCCCCCGTCCGTCCCCCCGGCCTCCTCCACCCCGGCCGCGAGACTGTCCTCCTCTAAAAGAGCCTCGTTCAGACATGATAATTTTGGGTATTATTTATTGTTTTTTTTTTTTTTATCTTGGTATATTGTTTTCTTCTTTTTGTGAATTGTGTGAATATGTTGGTATGTGTGGGGGGGGTATCAGCTTGTGTATGGACAGTCCAGGAGTAAAGATGTAAGAGTAGGTATCCTCCTCGAGCAAGGTCGTTATGGCCTGAGTTGAGGCTGGCTGTTCTTGTTCTCTTCTTGTCTTTTTTGCTCTATATAACTAACTAGCTAACTTCCTTCTTTTGGCCGTCGACTTTCTTGACGTCGAAGCTGACTTGCTGACTAAGTGAACGTTAATATCACGTGATTAACCTACCGCCCAACAGTAGCCGTCTTAGTAAGCAGTAAGCTTCTATCTCAGGCCGACTTTGCTACTTCGAAAGCCGCTGAGGATCGAGCATAAGAGTCTACAGTGGCTACAGGCTACAAGCTGCAGAGTGATATTGCTGCTGGACTACTCCGTACTTTGGACTGCTTCACTCTCTCAGCAGGGCTGCCTGACTGCACCACCACCACCATCGCCCTGCATCTGCTGTACTGCTGTACTGCGTATGACCTACGAGTATCCATTTCCGAGGTACCTCGCGGTACTTCCCTTTGCAGCCACTTTCTGCCGCCGCTTTAAGTCCCTCCGAGGTTCCTCCCATCCATACCGGATAAAGTATGTTTTGCGGCACTACTATCTTCCGTAGCCCGACGGTGTCCGAATAGAGCTAATATATTCTAACCTAATTAGATATATTAAGTAAGTAATAATAGATATACTATTACTTCTTTTAGATACCTTCCTACTATTAATATATATTACTAGCGAGTTATACTATAGATACCCTCCTTATCTTTTTAAATACTTCTAATATACTCGCGGAGTACTACTAGATAAGTAGATTATTCTTCTATATATAGGGAATTAGAGGTTATTAGTATTAAATTTAAATATATATCTATTATATCTATCTAGCTAATATTATTAAAGGCTATCGCTAGCTATTAATTACTCTTCTAGCCTTATAACTCTTATAGAAATATAATATCCTATATATAAGTAATAAAGAAACCTCTCTAATAATTTAACTAGATAGTATTATTATAAGTAATATTAATTAAAATAGTAAAAATAGTAGATTTAACTATAGGAACTCCTATAATTATATATTTATTAGTATTAGCTATATATAAAATAGGGAGTTATAGGATAGTATTTTACTAGATAACTTATATTAGAATAATATATAGAAATATCTACTTAGTATTACTAAGTATATATATAAAGATTATAATAATTT